ATTCTGAGCCTCATTCATTATATTCATATGAACCTTTGGAATTTTGCTGAGTCTTTCACAAATTAAAAATGTGATTAACAACGCAAGAATTTATTCTATAAATAAGATTTTACTTCTTTCAAAATTTCATATTCATTTGTAAGAAACAAATAACTTCTAATTGGATGGTCCTGTTTGTACTGATTAATAGCGGGAATATTTTCATCAATAATTCATATCTTCTAAATAAAAAAAACAAAGATGAGCTATTCTAAACAATTCTAAAACTGCTACTAATGCACTGTTTACGTACTGCCTCCATTTGTATAGTGGTAACTTTTCGACAGTGCTTATTATCACCAGTCATAATTTTTATCAACTAATCGTCTGTGACTAATAACTTACAGATGGTCTGAACAGCTCGCTGCATTATTTATCATAAACTTATTAGAAAATGTTCCCCTAACTGAATACACCTAAATGTAACTGTAATAAACTAACTAAAAAATACTGAACTGCCAAAAAGTCAATGTATCATTTCATTTTCATTCGAATAATTAAATAACTCGCATTTTTGCTCTCAATTAATACAAACTACAACGAAGACTACAGGCGAATTAGTGGTGGAAGAGAATAAAAAAAATAATTCAGGTCTACAATGATGATAATGTAAAATAGCGGATACAGTGCAAAATTTAATTCAAATTCCTATATTGTCATGTCGAACATTTTCGGAGAACGAAAAAACATATACAAATGTCGTCGTTAGAATAGAATATTTCATCAATAATCTCAACAATGATTAACTTTTAATTTAACCTCTGGAATAAAATCAACAAATGACCATGCAACTGTATGATGCTTTCATCTTTTGTCACTGACCCAAATTAATAAGTGTTAAAATTTGAAGAATGGTGTGGAATGGAATTTGTGACTATGTTATAAAGATATATAAAGTGGATCATCATACTAAACTTTCAGCAAATTGTGACATCATTCTATAAAACAATATTTCCTAAATTATAACATTTTATCAACCTGAGAGGAAGATAATCTGGGAAGATGAAAGGAGATGATGCTTCTTTATAAGAGTGCAATGATATGAAGTGCTCAAACACGCCAAATTGAGTCAATCACGTTTCATCGCGTATTTTGCTTTCTGTCGTTCAATTATCTGCAAAAAACTCATACGGAGAATTTTACAGGAAGTTTTTCCCTTTCGTGAGAAATAAAAAAAGAAATATTAGTGAGTACTAAAATGTTGTAATAATAGTAGATATCTCAAAACCAAAACTATTTCTTTCTTAAGTAATGATCCATATCAATGATCACTGCCTCATTAAACATTACCTTTTGCGGAACAACTTTCATATCGTAAGCCAGTCCTAAGAAAAACAGTATGTCGATGAATAATTTTGTGACATTGAAATGAAGCACATATTCGGATGTTCGATAATCTTGCGGAAAAACATGATGATAGTTATGACCACCTTCACCCATTGCTGTTACCGCTAACTGAAAGTAAATACCACTGCATGCCAATACTAAATTTCCAAAATGAGGACAAAAAAAGGTGCTTCAAGATTACTAAAAACTTAGAACAAATCAATTTTCTTCCAGTAATCGTGGGAAGTAATAAAATGAGACAAGTAAGTCTTTCCAGTGGTATTATTTTAAAATTGTTCAGGTAACACACCACATTTCAGAGTTATGCTTCTTGATAAAAATTATCCTATCATGACAAAAATACATGCATCATTAGTACTAATACAGATTTTATGCTGATAATGCATCGGTTGATTAGTCACGCTGATTTATTTTGCAACTGAGATAGGATTAAACGAAAGGTCAAAATGGTTAATAATCCCCTAACTAACCAAAAAGGAATCAACAGGTGTTATATTCGGATTGTATGGTTTGAAGCCATATTTGTGCGCCAATGAATTGATTAGCCATGTACCATGCAGAGTAGAACAGTATCTGAGATTTGAAATATATTAATTGTCGGAAACCCGAAATTACCTTATAATACAAAAATGTTAAAGTTATGGAAATATTTTATAGAAATTTATATTGCAAAAAAATTATCTAAAACATTGTTAATTCAATAATTTGTAGTGGTGTTTATGAGAAATCTTATTTATTTGAGATCGTAATTTATTACGTATGATTAAATGACATATATAAATGGCAATAACTGATTTTTATATCTGATAATTTATAATAAGTTTACAACGAGTTTCATGATGCATAATTTGGGTGTGAAAGAACGGTCTTTATCAGATACCAATTTTCTTCGTTTTTATTCCACTCCTACCCGAACCTGTTTCCAACTTCATTTCTAAACTTCAAATTCTACTTCTTGTTATATTAATCATCAATAAAACTAATTCCAAATTTATTGGTACTATACGTCTAAGAAGAAATCTTACAAAAGAAATCAACCATCATTAAATGAATTATTTGATTGTCTATGACATAACAAAACACTTCCAAAATTAAGCAAAACAAAAATTAAAAGTTCACAACTTGAATACGAATCAAAAAGAATGTCCAGAAATAAATCAATGAACTTTTTCCCATAAATCTAACAAAAAAAAATGAAAAACTAACCTCAATAATGTGCAGGTATAAACTGCGACCATGAACGATTCGCTCCAAAAATACATCGGTATGAAGGTTGGTATAATAAACCAGGCCAGTAGCACTGTTTTCAAGTAGTGCCTAAATAAAAATTAGAATTAAAACAATAAAGCTGAGTTTTTAAAATTTTGCTGGCTGTTGTTAAAATGCTAGCTACACACTAAAAACGCAACCTTTCCAATCTTTCAGATTCTTCCTAAGTCACTTTTTCAACTCACAATCCGTTTATATCGCATGCATAAAAAACAAAAATTTTTCAATTTCCGAAAAAACAAAAATTGATCACTTGAAAGGGGAAATAAATACGAATACATCGTGGAAGTAATCAATAGAAATGGAACCTTCTCTGAAATGCCAGAATAGGATCGTTGAACAAATCGCTTAAATCTAATTGAGCACCTTTCCTTTTCACTTCCGGATGTTTCCGAACCATCAACCAGCCCATATGAGCAAAAAACATTCCTCTGTAATATGACATTCAGAAAGTATTAAAACAAACTGAAAAGAGAGCAATGCTTATTAGTCATAAAATCATTGGCGAAATTCATGCCAACCTAGTAATCGTATTATTTCACAGTTATTACGGTTATGGTTACACCTAACCTATGATTGTTATGATGGGAAAACGATACACTAAATTCTTGCCTGGTAGTATTATGTGGATCAGCATCGGTGTCCATCCATTTGTGATGACAACGATGGTCCCGCGACCATTCAATTACATCATTCTGAAATCTGCTGATCGATAAAGCACGTAAGAAAAAAAAAGATAAATCCGACAGTGTATAATAAATGGAGAAAATATAATAGCAACAATTCAGAATTCGAGAAATATTAGTGCATTTGACAAAGAAAATGCAAAAGAAATATTGTGCTTGCCTGAAAAGCCATACTGTTACAAAACACCAAAAACAGTCGAGCAGGCCATTTAGCTTTGTAACTTCGATGTGACCAAAGACGATGCGCCCCGGCAGTGATACCCAAAACGCCCATAAGCCAACAAATGCAGTCTAAAAAATCGAATCAAAAAATCAAGTGAATTGAAAAGTTAAAAATAAACTCAATATGAAACAATGTATTTAAGATGGATGTCAACGAATAAAATATCTAAAGAAAAGACCAATTTACCTATAAAGAAAAATAAAACATTGATGTAAGAAAAACAATAAACCTAAATTGGAAAATTACATAACTAACACTAAAATAAAACTTACACCAAATTAAGGTTGGCCATTTGGCGATGAAAATAATCTGATACAGGCCGACCAATGATGCGATATGGAGAGCTGCAAATAACGCCACATTTCTCCATACTATTTGCGTTTTGAATTTAATCTACAATGCAAAAATCAAAACACTTGTAACTAGAAGAATAGATTATTCCTCACTCTCCTAAACCATTCATCCTTACAGATCACATATTCAATGTTTTGTTTTATTCCCTCAATTACCAACACAGCACCGCAGGTCGCGATAGTGATGATTTTTCATTTATAACAAAGCATATTCATCGACTTATTGTACAATCAATTCTTCAGAAAATTCTTCTTCAATTCCGATTATTCATATCATTCACCATTTTTCAATAGTTTCTATTATTTCCTTTTTCCATTTTAATAATATGCATTTTTGCCGTTTAGTTCTTTGAAACGATGTTTAGCAATTTATGAATATCGGAATTGAAGAATTTCCTTTCAAATACGAAGTTCGCATAAAAGAAGTAATCCAATAAATGGACGAATTAACCTCCCTTCAATGGATTACTGTTACTGATTCAGCAATCAAAAAATTTATAATCGTTGGTAAATGAACCGAATTGCTCAATACTGAATGATCAATGATCAATCAATTATGGGAGCTGATAGGAAAAGAGCGCATCCCTACCTCGCTGTTCTGCTCTTCGGTTTTTTTCTTCATACACCATTCATTTCTACATTTCATAATATTGCAAGATAACTTTCGCAACAGAATGAAGAATAATAAAGCATGAAGGGCTTGTTAACCTGTTTAGAATGCTCGCTAACTTCCTTGATTTCAGCGACATCGGCAGCGAGGAATTGTTCCTGAACAACTTTCATCGTCTCCATGTCAACTTCATCCATACAATTACCAGTGATAGTCTCTATCATAGCAGTTTCTGTTTCGGTCACCATGTTCTACTACGACTCAACTACCAAATATATTTCCCTTAAATATTACTCATATTTGATAAGCAGACGAGAAGTATACATCACACAATAAGTCAATCTTCAGCACTTACATTTGCGCGTGTGGTGCTGTTGACATTCTTAGGTTTATCATATAAGCACAACATATAGGTATGTTGTCGTAAAAATTAAGGGTGGTAAAAAGACATTAGCCAGGTATGAATATTCGTGAAGGATTTGTTCGAAATTCAAATGATACATCACCGATAGCACTTTGCAAACTGCTCTATGCCATGGGATTTGAATCATTATAGGCCCTAATCTCAGAACAGGTATGAAAATCATGATGGAAGAGGACGGAAAGAGAAAACTGTCGAGATGATACGTCAAACAATGACGATGATCGAATCAAACAGCGACAAAAGTAATGCTACTTTGAAATCATAGAGCCAGAACAGCTTGAATGTCTAGAAGATTAAAGGTCAACTTGATATGACTAACCCATCATAATTTAAGAAAAAAAATCAAGATGGCAAATGATACCTACAAAGTTGCAAGAGAAGCAGTTTTATACAAATAAACGATAGTCAGCGCGATGACAGAGGAAGATGTAATCTTTGATTCCATTTGAACAACCAAAGAATTTTCTATGATAGGAAGTAAAAAGCATCACTGTTATGAAGAAAAAACATGGTACCTACCATCCAAGGCACATCGATAAATGATACATTGGATCGCCTGTCCGTCTATTTGTTTAACTGTCTATCCACATATCTTCCCATGTTCTTGTCGCAGTTGTACGCCTACTTTTTTTTACCAATTATATGATTACTTTACCGATAGGAGCCTTGGTTATAAGAAATTCTCTGCTGGTTGCTTTCCTTCCTCCGCGCTGAATTGGTCGCACATAACTCCCAATTTCTCTTGCGGAATCTTATTCTCATGTGTGAATATCTCTTATGAGTTCTGATACGAAAACGTCCTATCAACTGACTCACCCGAAGACTCATCATCCGTCTGATATCATCCATCAGATGTCCACAGAGAAACTCATTGCTGTTATGATTCTTCGTAAAAGACGATCAGGATAGCAATTCACAAAAGACGCAAATATTTCAAAGCAATGCCTCCTCACCTTCTCATACTCTCCGAAGGTGTGCCATCGAACGTATTTATGGCCTAGTATGGCCTAGCACAAGACTCACTCTTTTATTTAGCAAAATTTCCCTCTTTATTTTATCATAAATGGCGACAAAAAAAAACAATAGAAGATAAAATAAATGAAAATGAGGCTTGCAACTATACTAGTTAGACAATGATACCAATTCTAGTCCTAACTCTTCAACTGCTACATTGACGAGTGATGAGTCATTTTGACCTATCAAAAGGTATAAAAGGTAAGTTATCTTTATTGAGTATAGCTAATTAGTATGATTTACATCACAGATAGCTCAACCAAAATCTACCAAATTATTTTGACATTCAACATTGTTACACCTCAGAAAGGTTATCTTTACTAAATTACCAATTACTTATTGCTATTTTTAGTCAAAATGGCTCTAATGGCAAATTGAGATTAGAAAAAAGATGAAAAAGTAAAACAATTGCTGATGATGTACAATATAATAGTAGAAATGATAGAAAAACAAAAGATGGCCCGCATTTGATGTTAGTATAGTAGTCCCATACAAGAAATATGAGCATAGGATCTGAAACTGAAACTGATAGATCCTATGAAAGTTTGCAAAAAACAAATATATATATATAATGTGTGTGGGTTAACTAGTTGTATGTGGGATATAAAAGCTCGATTGAAAATAGATGATAGAATGGAAAAGGAAAACATGAAATGGGATGACATGCCTATATTCATTGTAAATGCATATAATTAGAATTGAAAATCATAATAAACTTATGAATTATCATCATCTTTTTCATCATAGCTGATAACATCATTTGTCTGTGAGCGTTCTAATGAAGTTTCGTAGCATATTGGTGTTTCAGTGTTTAAATTATTAGTCATATCTATTGATAACATAGCATTGGAGGAGGGTGTTAAAACTGTCAAATCATCGTCCTCAGCAGCCTATAAAACTTTAAATGAGC